GCAGAAACGAGTCAATCCCCATTGACCCCCATGTTAAAAAGCCCAATTTTACAGCAAAAATAAACATGTTTACAGCCTGGTTCAAATTACGGTTTTGGTTTCTATGGCTAATTTTCCCCTCCGTGAAAACTGAGGGGGGAGTGAATTTTTTTGCAATTTTTTGTAACTCTACTATTTACAGGCTTAAATTTCTGCATAATTAAGGGCGTGGCCACTTTGAGTGTCAGAACCTTGAATTACACAGTCTCTGGGCAGGAGCCATGATGGGTTATGTCGTGGCTAGGCTAGAGCACAGGCCTACAAAACATCCTTGCTTTAGAGTTGGAACGCCAAGCCCTGCCGCTAACCCTGGGCCTAGCCTGGCTGTCTGAGGCAGGGGGGTTACTACAGCTCAGCTAGCCTAGCCGTTAATCCTTGGCCTTTTCTAGTCGCCTCTGGGCCGTTATCCTACCTAGGCTCACTCGAGTCACGGAACTTGATCCATCGGCCGCGTTTCTGACTGGAGATTTTTATCGAAATATCAGGATGATAATGTCTTGCTGTGTGGTTAGGAGTCTGTGGTCTATTTTCTAAGATGATGAAATTCTAATATTATTTCATATAAAATTATATGTCAACACGAAGTAACGTTAGTTCGTTCTCTAGCCAACTAGCCTGAGAATGAATACGCTAACCCCCCCGGTTAGTTTTTGCCCAAGATATTCAGCTGTGCCAGCGGGAGTGTTCGCCTGCCACAGTCATTACACAGGCATGCAGCGAAGTAAAAGCGAAACAGAGAAGTGTTTGAATTTAGGGTTAACATATTTTTTACAAAAGCTGTCAGTCAGGGGTTGGAAAACCGTCACGGCTTCCCTAACAGATTGCCAACGTAACTGGCTGGTCAGCTACAACATTAGAACCACCATAGCACGCTTCCACATGACGGGGCTCCTTAGCTGATTCCCCCGAGTATTTGGAAGGCTTGACCGTAGATTGCCGTGGTTATACACTCAGTGGATTCACACAGCAATATCTTATAGAACTGCATTTGCCACTAATGGATTTGTTCAATTTTCAGTGTGATTACTGAACGGTTTCATTGTAAATAGAAAGGCGATATAGCTAATTTAGCATATCCCACGTTACCTAGCAAGCTAGCTAGCTGTCGCTAAAAGTGTTTCTACATGAAGTCCACCATCCACAAACTAGCTAACCACATTAACGCAGCTAACAAGCCAGGGGGCAACGAAAAAGTGCTACTACCCAGCCACGTTCAGCAATATTAGCTGTCGCTTGGAGTAAAGGCTTTTTCCCCAAAGCAACATCAGTTTTACGACGCGATAAAAAAAAAAAGTTGCGCGTCGCAGTGGTATCGTTAGCTAATGTAAAGGACAGAGATAAGCTGGGCAGCTGATGAAGTAACCAAGGAGCCTAGGAGCCAGACGCCCAGCTGTGTTAGTATTGATGAGCCCACGTATGCTAGCTAGAGTAACCAATTAATTCAGCATTCACCGAAGTCAAAATGTAGGGTGACAATACTTGTGATCAGAATGTGCGAGAGTGTGGTAGGAAAATAAAGGTCCGTCAGGTTTGTCATTAAGGTTACGTAATGCAATGTTAACGTTTGGCTGGCCATACTACCGTTAATGGGACCGGGCTAAGGTGCGTACAAGAGCTAAGACGAGTACCCGCTCGCACTCTGGGGGATACTGACACTCAGTGAGGCAACTGCCGCGACTTCCCAGCAGTGTACAGCGTTCGTCGCGCTACTGCCTCACGGATACGAACAATGTTCGTCCTGCAACCGCTTCACGAATATAAACAGCATTCGACCCGCCACCGCAAGCTACTAGGCAGGATCCACTGCTTTACTAGGACAGACATGACCCTGCATCCCGGCCTCAGCGAACCAAGTAGCATCGAGCTGACTTGGCTTTTTAGTCGAGTATGGAAGCCGAAGCTAGCTTGGTAGCTGTGAGCTCAGAGGGCGTGTTTCAGCAAACGAGCTCCATTCGGCCTGCCCACTGGGCTTGTGTCAGCTCCAGCAACGGCCGCCTTTTTGCCCATTTTTGGATTATCTGGGAGGTAGGCGGAGTCAAGTAAGTGCCAAGATGGCGACCAAATTTGCTTCGAAATGGATATTCGGAAACCTATGGGTGACGTCACGGAGGCTACCTCCATGTTTTATACAGTCAATGGGAAGGAGGCGAGATGAAAATGGCTTTTAGCACCACCTCTGGGCACTTCAAGTACTGCGCCATGCAGTATGGCCTTGTTAACGCCCCCTCTGTGTTCCAGTACTTCATCAATGATGTGCTATGAGAGATGCTGGGAAAATTCGTCATTGCCTACCTCAACGACATCCTCATCTACTCAACTACGTATGAAGAACATGTGGGACATGTGAGAAGAGTACTCAAGGGCCTATTACAACACCAACTTTACGACGAAGCTGAAAAGTGCGTCTTTTGTCAGTCCACCGTCTCCATCCTTGGCTATGTGATTGGACCAGAGGGAGTTTGCAAACTTTTATCGGCGCTTCATTAAAAACTTCAGCGCAGTGGGCCATCCTCTGATGCGTCTCTTCAAGGGAAAACCCAAAAACCTGGGATGGAATCCGGAAGCTCGGCATGCCTTCAACACACTCAAAAGTCTGACGGCGTATAAGAGAAAATATTTGGCGCTTATGGGATAAAAAAGTTACCAGGAAAATGTAAAGCTGCTGCTCTTGGAAACGTGGGATGGGAGAGTAAACCAAAAATCCAGGCACTCAGAGAATAATTAGATCAAAAAGAAGCAAAAAAGGATAAAAAGCCTTTATTATTTATGGCTAAACAGTTAAAAAAGCCGACATGTTTCGACCTATGCAGTCTTCATCAGGGCATAAACAGTGCCATAGGCCAAGACAGACGTATATAGACATAACAACCAATAGGGAAGGTGAGACATGTCACCTGATGACCTTGCACTCAGGTGCAAGTCCATCCTTGCACCTGAGTCCACTCCTCAACTTCCTGTCCTTCGTGTACATCATCAGTGTGCGAAGCACAACCCTTACAGGTCATGCATGACCTCCTGTTTCCCTGGGGAATAGATATGAGGTGACGCAGAGTATACTATACAGTAAAGTATAGTCTCTGAGATAAGAGCTGTAATTACATTAAACATGAGATGTAAAGATCCACACATTACAGTATTTGGTGAGTAATAAACTGGCCGCATAAATAAATACATAAACAAACTAGAGCTGCGCTCAGAGAGCACAAGTACCTCTGCCACTGTACTCAGTGTTATTTTTGCCAGTATTAGCTAGCAACCCCTGTGTTTATGCCGTCCTGTAGTCTTCGCACAAATATGTTTTTAATGTGTTTTTCACCTTTTGCATGCCCTTGACCTTGACCTCTGACCTTGACCTCCCAAAATCAAATCACCTCTTTCTTGAACAATACTTAATCATTCCAACAAATTTGAGGAAAATCCATCCATAACTTTTTGCGTAATCCTGCTTACAAACAAACCAACAAACCAACCAACAGACAAACGGTAATGATCACATAACGGAGGTAATAAACATGATTAAATTTACCAGTGCATCTGCTTTGTGCTTCAGCTTCTTGGCTTCCAGCATGTAGTAGTCAGCACTGTGCAGTCTGTTCATAGAAGAGATCACAGAAAAATAAAAATGTCATGCATTAAAAAACAGAGCCAAGATCAGAATATATAAAATTACATAATTAAATGCAAGCAGATACTCTTCAATTAGACAGAGGTGTGTTAAATACTTCAACTAATAGCTTCTTAACTTACAATTGAGAGCTTCATTATTACAAAATTAAATTGATTAGCGCCCTAACTGTAATTTGCAGCGAGTGCTTTCATTATGAATACCGCGAGACCAGTATTCAAAAACGCACACGTCATCAAACATCAGCTTCGGACGCCTGTGCGCTGAACAGTCCAGTGCTGCCGGCGGTGACCTCGGCCACAGGTCTGAGTAACTCTGACTGCTGCTGTGGAAATTTTCAGAGGGTTTGCTCTCAGTGTCATTGTCCTGTGGGAAAATACAAATAACACAGTCATTGAGCACAACATCACTGAAAAGATTATCTGCGGTATTTTCATTTGGCAGTGTTTCTAGCTAGTCTTGTCCTGCACAGCGGCAGATTAAGCGAGGATTATTTCTTGCATGGGGTAAATTCATGTCTTAAGTGATGCTCTGAATTTTTTGCATGAGGTAATTAGTTCTTTAAAGAGACAGGAAATTACGGAAAATGACTAAATAAAGACTTCTGAGAGAGTAGTCTAAGCTCTTGCCCAAACCATACGTAGACATGAGAGCACAGTCCAGGAACATTACACCATTATTTTGTTTATGAACAGTTTTATGCCAAATGTGATTTGCTCTATTATAATGCAAAAATGAACACAAGTGAAAAATGTCCTACTTTTTTAAAAAAACACTTGTGTCCTTAACCCTATGGGAAATCTGAATGTAAACACCATTACAAGGGAATTAGAACAAAAAGGAAGTATATGCGATATCAATGGTGAACTATCAGTGTTATTAAGCTTCAGAACTAAAACGTGTTAAAGCACTTCTAAAGGGAGAAAATGGTAAATAAAAATGATGCCTTCCTCTCGTTTTAAGTTTTTTAAGGTTACTTGAGAATATATTTGGGAAACTGCCAATTTAAAGATAAATGCATTGAATGTGAAATAGACCCTACCAAACTGGTGATGTAACAGCCAGCAGAACTTAACAATAGATACACAGATACTTTATTTTTATTTATATAATACTTTATTATACTTTATTATCATCCTCTGCATTTAACCCATCCTATAGTTAGGAGCAGAGGGCAGCCACAGAGCAGTGCCCGGGGACCAACTCCAGTTCTAAAGCCAGTTCTTTGGTCAGGGGTACTGGTAGGAGTGTTCCAGTAATGTATGTTTTTCTGGGTGGAGGAAACCGGAGGAAACCCACGCGAACACGGGGATAAAATGTAAACTCCACACAGAAAGGCCCTAGGCCGGGTTCGAACCCACAATTTTTTTATGTTGTGGGACAGCAGTGCTAACCACTGCACCACCATGCCATCCAAAAAAGTAAGCTCGAATGCTGGCCTTGAATTGCACTGATAGCACTGTACATCCAGGGCTCCCCATATCACAACGGCCAAGGGTGGAAGACCTTCTCCCCTCCCTTTACCTGGGAGTCAGGTGTGATGACAGTCTGGCCTATCAGGGATAATAACTGTTCGCATAATTGCCTGGAAAGAGAGAAAATAAGGGCTGGATTTGGATTTAACAGCCAGATTGGGGAGCCCTGACATCAATAATATCATGTATACTTCCTTTTCATTTAAGTTCAGGAAGATTCTTTCTAATTCAGGGGTGCCAAGCTACCGTTAAGCAGCGTTTAAACCAAATATCAAATTATTCCCTTCCAGTTTTCGTACGTTGATGGCCTTGGAAAGTGCTACCGATCTGCTTTCCAGGTTACGGCATTTATACGAAGATGAGGATGATGAAGAGCAGGGAGGAAACAGGCAGCTGGAGGGCAGGGTGCAGGTTGGATTGCTGCTGGCTTCAGTGTCTCCGCGATGGTGTGAGGATTCAGTGGAGAGAGGAGACGGTGCGGGAGGATGGAGCTTCTCCTCTGTTTTTACCGACTGTTTCTTAATAACTCTGTAAAGAGCAAAACACCAAACAATCCAGCATTTACTGACCGTTTCATAATAACTCTGTAAAGAGAAGAACACCAAACAATCCAGCATTTACCGACTGTTTCTTAATAACTCTGTAAAGAGAAAAACACCAAACAATCCAGCATTTACTGACCGTTTCATAATAACTCTGTAAAGAGAAGAACACCAAACAATCCAGCATTTACTGACCGTTTCATAATAACTCTGTAAAGAGAAGAACACCAAACAATCCAGCATTTACCGACTGTTTCTTAATAACTCTGTAAAGAGAAAAACACCAAACAATCCAGCATTTACTGTCCGTTTCATAATAACTCTGTAAAGAGAAGAACACCAAACAATCCAGCATTTACCGACTGTTTCTTAATAACTCTGTAAAGAGAAAAACACCAAACAATCCAGCATTTACTGACCGTTTCATAATAACTCTGTAAAGAGAAAAACACCAAACAATCCAGCATTTGCTGTCCGTTTCATAATAACTCTGTAAAGAGAAGAACACCAAACAATTCAGCATTAACTGGCTGTTTCTTCACAACTCTGTAAAGAGAAAAACACCAAACATTTTAGCATGTACTGACTGTTTCTATATTACTCTGAAAAGAGAAAAACACCAAACAATTCAGCATTCACTGGCTGTTTCTTCATAACTCTGTAAAGAGAAAAACACCAAACAATTCAGCATTTACTGACTGTTTCTTAGCAACTCAGTAAAGAGAAAAACACCAAACAATCCAGCATTTACTGACTGTTTCTAAATTACTCTGCAAAGAGAAAAACACCAAACAATTCAGCATTTACTGACTGTTTCTTAATTCATCTGTAAAGAGAAAACACCGAACAATTCAGTATTTACTGACTGTTTCTTAATAACTCTGTAAAGAGAAAAACCCCAAACAATTCAGCATTTACTGACTGTTTCTAAATTACTCTGTAAAGAGAAAAACACCTATTTACCATCTACAGAATGTCTCGTAATTACTCCGTTAAGAGAAAAACACCAATAAATTTAGCATTCACTGACTTTTCCTAATACTCTGAAAAGAGAAAAAACAATCAATTTAGCATTTACCAACTGTTTCCTAATCACTCTGTTAATGAACTCTGGACCACTCCCAAAGTGGAGGAGAGAATTCGGTGGAAGGATGGATAGGAGATCGGGGCGAATGTGATGTTGTATGGACTTGGTCTGTGATTGTGCGAACATTGGGAGCACCAGATGGCGAGACTCAGGGTGGGGCTCGCGTCTCTCGCCGGAGTCCGTGTGGCTCCTAAGCCCCCCGAGGTCCCAGGTGGTGGCTGTTTCTTGCCTCCTTCTTGGAGAGGGGAAGGGAGGGAGGGACATAGAATCGAGACGAGCGTGGATTGTGGGAATGAAGGCGGTATATATAGGCATGCGGACGAATAGGAAGGCGCATTGGGAGTGGTCTTGTTCATTAACCATTGTTATCGGGAACACCCTTAAAGAGAAAAGCACCAAACAATTCGGCATTAACTGACTGTTTTTTATTTACTCTGTAAAGAGAAAAAACCCAATCAATTTAGCATTTACCGACTGTTTCTCAATTCTCTGTAAAGAGAAAAACATCAAACAATTCGGCATTTTTGGACTGTTTCTTGATTACCCTGTAAAGAGAAAAACACTAATGAATTTAGCATTTACCGACTGTCTCTTACTTACTCTTTAAAGGGAAAAACACTTAACAATTCAGCATTTACTGATTGTTTCTTAATTACTCTGTAAAGGGATAAACATCAATCAATTTAACATTAGAGGAAGTGCTGTATACTAAATATTGTCACTGCTGTAAGTTCATCCGTCTTGTGCCGCAGAAAATCACAGCTGTAATGTCATTTTGTATAATTGCACAACCTTGAGTGCAATATTGCAATAATATAACAGTTTGATAAACAATAAGTTTATTAGAGCCTACATATCTGACATTTCAGAAAAAAATGTGATCAAATATTTATTTTTTTTTCTCTGCTGAGGAAAAAAAATACACAAGGTGGATAAACAGTTTTTGGCTGCTGCGAAATTCACAGACACACTAGCATTAGAAACACACAGACACACCAGCATTCAAAACGCACAGACACACCAGCAGCCCTTTAATGACTCACTTGGTGACCGGCCCACATTCATAGGAACTTTTCCACATAAAAGGTGCAAATATTCCGCTTTCATTCATGAAAAATTAGCCCTTCGCCATGTCCACTGTCGTTAAATGTCCCCTAACTTATTAACGGCAGCCATCCATGTAACAAACCAACTATGTTCAAAATAATTTGAATTTCATACAGTGTCAAGCTGAGTCACGCGTTAACAACAGCGTCATAGTGATACTATACTAAATATCATCACTCAGAAAAAAGAGGTAACTAGGTTTAAAATAGGATTTTAATGAATAAGATACTCACATGCACATATTCTGTCTGAAAGGCTCTCCATACTTGCAGAAGTGAAAGCAGTATGTAAATAAAGAACTGTAAACATACAGTGCCTGAGCCCTGAGCGTAATGGTAACCTGTGGGATGCCAGTTGGACCCTAAATGAATGGACCTTGTGCCGTTGGACCCCAGTTCATTTGGACCCAAACCAGTTGGACCCCTCACTACTTGGACCCCAGACTAGTTAGACCCCAGACCCGACCCAGTTGGACCCCATGCTGTTTGGACCCCAGACCCTAGCCCTAACCTAACCCTGACTCGAACCCAACTGCTCAGGGGTCCAACTGGTCTGAGGGTCTAACTGGTCCATGGTCCAACTTGCTTGAGGTCCAAATGGTATGGGGTCCAAACGGTTAGGGTCAGGGGTCTAACTGGACAGGGTCCAACTGGTCAGGGTTCAACTTGTATGGGTCCAACAGGTACAGGGTCCAAATGACTCGTTCCCGAGAAAATCTCTGTCGTCCTGGTAACCGCACCCTGACTCAACAAGGGCACTAAATTTCTAAGAAGAAGAATATCAGCATAGAGATCGCTTGGTTTCATAACAAGTGCTAGCATCCTGCATATGGTGGCCTCTGATTGCTGTCTGCAAAGTTTTTACCACAAGGTCATCAGTTTCTGCCAACATGTGCTGTGATGGATGTTGCCTGTAGAAACATGACAGGGAAATAGAGCGGTGAGATAGCCAGTCACACTCACTCCTTTGTGCTGGTGAGCTTCTGCGTGCGTATGGGGATATACATGCTGGAAGTATGGCTGTCGTCCTCTCATGCCGCATCTTTTTGTTCCCAGTGGCCGTGTCACTATTCTCAGACTGTGGACACAAAAATTAACATTACAAGGTTGTTCATCACTACAGGGTGTATCAAAGAAAAGTTTACACTTTGAAAAATGTCTCCAAAATTGATAGAATATAATTTTCCAAAAATCTGTTATGATGTATTGATGGACCATGCCCTCATGCTCCTATTGACACCTTGTTAATCGCCTGCTGTTCTGCACGAGTGAACATGGGTTGTTTATTTTCACCCGATTTAAACTGGCTTGTGCACAGAATTGAGAGGGTTAAAAATGAAACAAACAGGATGGTTGGCAAGTTCAGACATTTAATTTCTTTCTAACCAATTTTCATGAAAATTAGATTAACCCTTTGTCCGCTACCAGCCCGCCAACTTCAGACTCGGATTGCCGAGGTTGCCATTTTGAGGCAGGATCCTGCAATGGTCCGACGGTCTGTTTATGCCATGCTGAGGAGAGCGGAGGTCTGTGTACAAAGGAATGGAGCCCATGTCGAAGACTGAAATTTGAATGCAATGTTCCTTGAACCATGGACTTAAGTACAGTCATGCTGTTCTAAGTGTGCTGAGAATAGCAAAATGTGAGTCCGATGTTAATGGGCTGGTAGCGGACAAAGGGTTAATCCAATTTTCATGAAAATTTTTGAGGAAAAACTTAAATGTCTGAACTTGCCAACCATAGTGTTTGTTTTCGTTTTTAACCCTCTCATTTCTGTGCGCAAGCCAGTTTAAATCGGGTGAAAATAAACAACCCGTGTTCACTCATGTGGAACAGCAGGCGATTAACAAGGAGTCAATCGGAGCATGAGGGCATGGTCCATCAATACATCATAACAGATTTTTGGAAAATGATATTACATCAATTTTGGAGACATTTTTCAAAGTGTACACTTTTTTTTGAAACACCCTGTATAGTTCATCTGGTTTTTCGCAGTTGGACTGGAGTGTGATATCAGGGTTAAGGACATAAAGCATATGTGATGTCACATGACAGCAAAGAATGTGTGTCAAATCACATGACACAGGACTGCAGTATGTTTGCCGAAGCAAAGACAGCGAGAGGGAGCCAATGCCAAACACTTGCCTTGTGTTTCCTTTTGGATTTCGGAGGTTTGTCTGCAGGGGTGGGGGCAGGAGACT